ACGGGAAGCCAAAGTGGGCTCAGAAAATGAGTAAAAAGCCATATCAGAATAAGAAGCCAGGACAGCAAGGTCAGAGAAAGTTTAATGCAGCAAATTTAGCCTCTCAAGAGCCTCAATCATCTACCACTACTATGAGTCCTTTCGGGACTGATCCAAGGGAAGATATCATTAATTCTTTCCGTGACCATCTAGAAGTGTATGGGAGGGCAATCTGCCAGATGGACTCTACCTCTCCACCCTCGACTTCCTTTGCATTTACATCAGGTAATGGTAACTCTACCATAGCTTTCCATGTGTCCTCTCATCCCACAGACTCCCCTTGGATAATAGATTTTGGAGCCTCGAACCATATGACGGGTAAGTCCAATTGTTTTCAATCTTATCATCTACTATCTGGACGGGACAAGGTGAGACTTGCCGATGGTTCTCTTTCCACTATAGCTGGTCAAGGAACCATCTTCCTTCCACTTGGACTCACCCTCTCTGATGTTCTACATGTTCCTAAACTGCCCATAAATTTGTTCTTTGTTAGTAGTATAACAAATTCGATGAACTACTCAGTAACCTTTTTTCCTTCCTCTTGCATGATACAGGATTTGGCCTCGAGGAAGACGATTGGTAGAGGTCGTATGGTAGATGGTCTTTACATGCTAGAGAATAAAGCTTGTCTTGTGGCTATTGAGTCTAAGAATCTGTCTAATAAGAGTTAAGTCCTTTTATGGCACAGCCATTTGGGTTATTTATCATTTGAGTCATTGAAAATTTTGTTACCACATTTATTTAAATCAATGTCAATGTCGGATTTCACATGTCAAACTTGTCAGTTGAGCAAACATAGTAGAAATCACTTTACTTCAAAAAATAATAAATTTGATTTTCCTTTCCATATTGTGTATTCTGATGTTTGGGCCCTATCACTTTAACATCCAAGTCTAGCTATAAATATTTCATTACACTTATTGATGACTACTCCCGATATACATGGGTGTACCCTATGCAGTCCAAAGATGAAGTACCAAAAATCATTAAAGATTTCCAACGTTTGATATTCACTCAGCTTCAAACGGAAATCCAGATTTTCCAATCAGACAATGCCAAAGAATATTTCCATAGTGATCTCACGGAGTTTTTTGCTTCGTGTGGATCCATACACCGTAGCTCTTGCACTAGAACCCCCCAACAAAATAGTGTGGCCGAAAGAAAGAATCACCATCTTGCTCGCGGGTTACTTATACACATGAATGTCCCTATACGTTTCTAGTTGGATGTTGCGTTGTGTGCTACCTATCTCATCAACCATATGCCATCCCGCTTGTTAGGGTACAAGGCCCCACATCGACTCCTTTTTCCCAAAGCTCCCCTCTTCTCTATTCCTATCCGTGTATTTGGTTGTCGTTGTTTCGTCCAGGACCTTTTTCCTACTCGTGGAAAACTTGATCCCCGTACCATTCCTTGTGTCTTCTTGGGTTATCCTTCTTCCCAAAAGGGCTATTGATGTTTGGATCCTGTTTCCAAGAAGTACTATGTCTCTATGGATGTGTCTTTCTTTGAAAGTGACCCTTTTTTTCTCGGTTTCTCCTCAGGGGAGAGTAAAGTGGAGGAGAAACCAGTTCAGGTTCAGGTTCTCCCTTCTTTACCTAACCTTCCTCCATTCCGTGTTTTTCATCGTCGCAAGAGCCAGCTAAATTCAAGAGTTGTGGAGCAACTTGAAACTGTACCGCCAACACCATCAAATTCACCGGGGACAGATCATATCCAACCAGGTACTATCATTCCTATTGATGTTTTTTATCCTCTTGCCATAGATATTCCTTTTGGTGATGACCTTGACATTCTCATTGCAAAAAGGAAGGGAGTTAGGTCTTGTACCACCAAGTATCCTATTACCCATTTTGTTACCTATGAGAACATCTCACCCTCCTTTCATGCATTCATTTCTTCCATTGGCGGCGTCCCTATCCCAAAAAATGTGGCAAAAGCTCTCTTGGTACCTAAATGGACAGATGCAATGAAAGAAGAGATAAATGCCCTACATAAAAATGGTACGTGGGAATTAGTGGATCTTCTTGAAGGTAAGGAACCGGTAGGGTGCAAGTGGGTGTTCACAATAAAGCACAAGGCTAATGGCACAATAGAAAGGTACAACGCTAGGTTGGTGGCAAAAGGGTTTACACAGGTATATGGTGTAGATTATGCAAAGACTTTTGCCCCAATAGCCAAGATGAACTCCATTAGAGTCATTTTCTCCCTTGCGACAAATCTTGATTGGGATCTTTATCAGCTAGACATTAAAAACGCCTTCCTAAATGGAGACCTTGAGGAAGAGGTGTACATGGTCCAACCTCCTGGCTTTAGTGCCCAAGGCAAAGAGCAGAAAGTGTGCAGACTAAAGAAGTCTTTGTATGGTCTGAAGCAATCTCCGAGAGCCTGGTATAGCAAGTTTCATCTGGCTATACAACAAGTTGGCTACAAACAATGTCAGACTGACCATACTCTATTTGTGAAAAGAGGGGAAGGAAAGATTGCAGCCTTGATAGTGTATTTTGATGACATAGTGATCACAGGTGACTGGAAGGTTGAAATTCAGACACTGAAAGATTTCTTAGCCACTAAATTTGAAGTGAAGGATCTAGGTCCCCTTCGATATTTCCTTGGAATTGAAGTGGCCCGTTCTCAAAAGGGGATCTTCATTTCTTAGAGGAAATACATCCTAGATTTGTTACAGGATACAGGAAAACTAGGGGTTAAGCCAGTCGACTCTCCCATTGATCCAAATCACAGACTGAGTGACTATTGTGGAAAACAATTCCAGAGACTTGTAGGAAGGCTCCTGTATTTATCCATGACTAGGCTAGACATTTTTTTTTTATCAATAACACTTTCATTAACTCATCAATAGAAGATTTACAATAGGAAGACAAACACGCTTATCTTCCAAGAGCAACAAAGAACCTCAAGAAAAGAAAACACACTATAGTTACAGTTTAGCCCAAAAAAGTGAATCCCTTTCTGCCCCTTGTTTAGCTAAACCGTCAGCTAGGAAATTAGCCGATCTTTTAACCCAAAGTATCTTAACTTCCATCTCCCGCACCAGCCACTTGAATTTCCTCCTCTCATTATTGTACTTCCACAAGCCATTGTGATCTTTAATCAGCCACCCTATCACCACCTCTGAATCCCCTTCAATTAAGAGTTTCCTGATGTTCAACTCCTTAGCTTTTTGTACTCCTTCCATAACTGCAAAGATCTCAGCTCTAAGGAGTACAGCTTTTTGTACTCCTTCCATGACCAGGCCAGACATTGCTTATGCAGTTAGTGTTCTTAGTCAATTCATGCACGCTCCTAAGACCACACTTAGAGGCAGAAGAAAGAATACTTAGATACCTAAAGAGAGGTTTCCTAGAGCTGGTTTGTTATACCAAAAGAATGGTCATTTGAAGATTTAAGTCTACACAGATGTTGATTGGGCTGGACCAATTGATGACAGAAAGTCTACTAGTGGGTATTGTTCCTTTGTGGGAGGAAACCTAGTCACATGGAGAAGCAAGAAACAAAATGTGGTGGCTAGGTCTAGTGCTGAAGTTGAATATAGAGCAATGTCCCATGAGGTGGCTGAAGGCATGTGGATAAAGAATCTGTTGAACAAACTGGGTTTTCCTGTTGATGGCCCTATGTCCTTGTATTGTGATAACAAGGCTGCCATCAATATTGCAGCCAACCCAGTTCTTCATAATAGAACTAAGCATATGGAGGTTGACAAACACTTCATTAGAGAGAAAATTGTTAATAGAGAAATGTGCACCCCATATGTGAGTTCCAAAGAGCAATTGGCATATATATTTACAAAAGGCTCACATCACTCGCGGCACGAGGATTTATGTGACAAGTTGGGCATGATTGACATCTATGTCCCAACTTGAGGGGGAGTATTGAAATAACTTAGTTTATTTAAGTTTAGTGCCGCAAGGGCACCTTTGTAATTTTATCCTTTCTTTTTTCTGTATGGTCGCCCTAGTATAAATACCAATTAAACTAGCGCCGCCAGTTGACTTTTGTCTCTCCCAATTCTGTCTCTCTCCTCTCTTTTCTTTCTTCTCTCTTCTCCTTCTTCTCTTCTCTCAGTTCTGGAATCATACCATCTCAGCACCAAGAAAACACTTCTCTTTTAGAAACCCCTTCTACTGAAACAATTACCTATGAAGAATTGTCATTCTTCCCAATAGACCCCTCCTCATCAACCCCAAGCACGGTTGCATCTAGAACCCTCAGAAAAAGGTTATCCATAGAGGTTTACATCCTTCTAATTTAAAACACTTTCTAATAATGCAGAATATCTTACTAACAATAAAACAAGGTGCAAAAATCATAATGTAATTTTGGAAACTTCCAATAATGCCCTACCAACCCCTCATTAGGGGAGCAGCAGGGGAAACAAAATAAACAGATTAACCTTGATATGACCATCATGTGCAATCAATAGATTATCAGGCTTCAAATCACGATGAACCACACGTAATGAATGCAAGTATTCCAAAGCAAGCACCTGGACAACAATTATTTTCAGAAGTTATAAAGCTGTAATGGATGGAAAAAAAATAAACCAGAAGAAGACCAAAAAAATCCAGAAAGAATAGACTTAGACTTACAACTTCTGCTATGTATATACGAGCAACATCTTCATCCAAGCATCCTAAATTTCTCAACAAAGAATATAGATCTCCTCCATTCAAGTACTCCATCACAAGATATAAATTCTCGCGACATGTAAAAGAATAGAAAAAACGAACCTAAAAGAAATCAAATTCCAGTTAGACTGTGAACGAATTAGATTTTACTTGAGAATAAAAAACTATGCTCACTAGACCTGCTCACCACAAAAGGATTGCGAACTGAAATTAAAATGTCACGCTCAGCCAAGATGCTCTCAACAGCATTTTTACGAATCATGTCCGCCTTTTTAAGAACCTGTGTATATTATAAATGTATGTAATGATCAACATTTAAAATCTCCATATTGTTCCTAAAAGGCTAAAAGATAGCACAGGTACCACATGAAACAAGATGATTTAAGTGCAAAAGGAGAAGAGGATGCAATAAAACAGTCGCATAAGATATGCTAAATAAGTAAAACTTACAAAAAAAACAAGAAAAAGTAATTTTTCTCTAAGCATCAAAGTCATAAAAAGAACATTCAAACACAAGCATTAAATATAAGCACCTTTATAGCAAAAAGATCACCAGTTGTTCTTTTCTTTGCCAAGAAAACCCGCCCAAATGCCCCACGGCTGATTGGTTTTATTATTTCAAAGTCATCTATAGAAGTTCGGTCCTTCATAGAGTGAATAGGACTCGTCCTCAAGCTTCGGACAACATCATCTTCTAAAGGGGAATCTTCATCTATTGTGGTACTTGTTATATCCACTTTATCATCATCAACTAGTTCGCAAAGCTGTAAGTATTTCTCCCTGGAGCATTGCAATTGCCATTTGAAGAAAAGCACAAGTTACAGTCAACAAAAGCAAGAAAATGTCCGAAAAATGCAAGGCTGCTAATAAAAAATCTTATGAAACAAATCTGAGAAAAAAGAGAATAGCAGCAGCATTGCAGCGGTAAGGTTTCTACTACCCTACCATCAAACTACAATTTAATTAAGGCATTCTGAAATATTATATCCTGCCACATTTTATCCACCTACATATAAGCAATTTATGTAGCTAAAATCTGACCTTATCAATTTCTCTATGCATGCTCCAAATGTCTCCACTGTAAGTGCATCTAGCTTTCTATGGTTAACTACAACCTTTAAGTCTTCAAGGCAGGAGACCAGATATTGCATGGATCGATCATCATCCATGGGTGTATTTGTCGCACATCGAGCAATATCGGCAAGTTCATTCATCTGCATCGTAAGATTTTTGATAACTCTAAGATCATCAATAGCAAAAATCAATTTACAGATCAATTTAACACTCAAGGATTATTGATTGCATAACTTCTAGATATGGTTTTTTATTACATTTTTCTATTTAAAAAAAAAAAAGTGATCAATTATAACCATAGTAACCATTCCTCGTAACAACCAAGAACCAACTTTTACCAATATTTACCATTTTGCATGATAAAGACCAACTTCAAATATATTTCTTGTTTATTGTATAGTACATTGAGTGGAGAAGATTTACTTTCAATCCAAAATCAACCTCCAATCTGCTATGATTTTTTTGGATGAGTAACAAGAAATGACTTGATAACTAAAAAGAGAGATACCTAGAGATGGCAATTTGACCTGTCCCCGTTGGGCCCCGCCCTGTCCCAGTCGGGGTGGATGTTTTTACCATTGATCAGGATTTAGGGTGGGTTCAGAGAAACCCAAAAGTCCAAAACTCTGAACCCGCCCCGACTATATTATATAAGATAATATATATAATTGTTAATATGTGCTAATATATGTTAACTATATTATAATATTATATATTATATTACATAATATACAATAGTTCCAGGTAGGTTTCAAAAAAATAAAAAATAAATAAATTTATACAAGTAGGAAAGACCAAGGCAAGGCAGGGCAAATTCGGGAATCCCTGTTCCCCACGAGAATGGGGGCAGGGTTAGTGAAACTAACCAAATTCAAGAGTCATCAAGTGAAGGGTCTAAAGAGACTTGCCTCAAAATGTTGAGTAGGTGGACCAAGGCAGAACATTCATTTTCCCTTAAACCTCTTCTAAAGCCCAAGTTCTTATTTAAACCAGTTGGAGGTGTCCCAATTCTGGACCATAGTTGTCAAGGTGACGCCTAGGCGACAAGGCACCCTTTGAGGCTCGCCTCGCCTAATCGCCAAGTAGTTTTGTACTATGTATTGTAAAATACTTTTTTATTCTTTATTTTTTGACATTATAATTATAAAATAGGCACTATTAAACTAAAATATTCATTTTGTGTGTTTATATACTAATTTGTTTTTATTATTTTCTTATTTGTTTTTATTATATTATTATTTTCTTATTTGTTTTTAAATACTACAAGGTGCCCCCGTGATGCCCAGCCACGCCTTGAAAACTATGTTCTGGACACAGTCCCACCCTTAATTATAGAGAGAGCATAGAGTTCAAAAAATTGGTCTTTGAGTGGAGTTCCTCCTAGCCACAGATCTTCCCAAACCAATTAAAAAGGATTGAGTAAACTTTGTAATTTGTAAATTGCTTTCCAAGGAGAAGGTAAAGAAGAGTGTGTGTGTGTGTGTGTGTACGGGAGGAACCCCAGCCATTTACCTTCCAACCCAAGAATGATTGCAATTACTTTGTGCCACAGCCTGTCAATCTCAAAGGGACCTCCATAAACCACTTACCTAGTAATGCAGTGTTTCTAATGGCAATGTTTCCTAACCCTAAACCCCCCTTTTCCTTGGGTTTACTAACATGTTCCCAATTTACCAAGTGATCCTTTTTATCCTCTCCTAATGCCCAAAGAAATCCCCTCGTGTATTTCTCTAGTTGTCTTGCTATCCTGATCGGGATGTAAAAAGTGGAGAGGAAATAAATGGAACGATTATTTATCAAAAATAAATAAATGGAAAGAAAGATTATTTATCAAAAAAAATTGGAAAGATTTTTTTCAATCTAGCTCTAATCAATGTTATTCTTCCATCTAAAGAGACGTAATTCCATTTCCAAAGGGCTAATTTCCTAGCAAACCTCTCCACTATTGGCTTTCAAAACCCGTCAGACTTAGGGTCCCCTCCCAAAGGCAAGCCTAAGTCTAGTTGAAGATTAATTAGTTTTATGATGTTTTTCTGAGTAGATGTTTTATGTTAGTCGTTAGATAGGAGGTGGGGACCACAGTAGTTATGTGAGTCCAAATTTTATTATGTTTCTTGAGTGTTATTTATGCTGTTTTATGTTTTGCCGCCCTGTAAGGGCATAGTTGTCTTCGTACTATTCTATTATTTTAGTATAAATAATAAGTGAAGGGGGCGACCAGATTATTGCTCTCTTTTCTTTCAACTTCTCTTCTTCTCTTCTCCTTCTCTCTTCCTTCTCTCTTCAAGAAACTACTTTCTTTCATATTTTTTAATTCAGCAGATTTATACTTCTATTACAAGCCAATTTCTACCCTCACAAACCCAGTAACTTAACAAACCGCAGTAGTTCCCCTTCTTCCAAATTGATCCCTACAATTTCACTCTTACTCCAATTAATCTCCAACCCAATCAAGCCCACAAAATTGTCAATCAACACCTTCAAGTTTCTCACTCTTAGATAGTAGGTCTACCAGCCCATTAACCGATCTCCTCTCCTACTAAACTCTAATCATTAAATTGGAAGTTAGCCACTTGAATCTTCTCATCACCCCCTGAAAGACCAAGTTACTGTCTCAGGTTCTTTCAGCCACCCAATTTACCAATTTAGAGCCTCCTTCATTAACCAAACTCCCGAAGTTCAACTCTTGACTCTGGGGCAATTTGTGCTCCCTATAAAACTACTTGGACCTCTGCACTAATTGCATCCCCCACTCCAATTGGACAAGAGAATAAGCAACAATCTAACCCTCTACATTCCCGAATACACCTCCAATACCAGATAGGGGTGCAACTTCGGTTGGGCTAGGAACCAAGAAGTCAGGCTTTTTTATTTTTCGGGCTAGGCTCGGGTTTAGCCCTTAGGTAGCCCGAGCTCAGCCTAACCATGCACATTTATACACACATATGAGTATATTTGTAAATTCTGCATACATATTTACATACATACATACATATTTGTGTGTGTACACACACACATTTGTATGGTCAAAAAGCTGCCAATTTGCAAAGGCATCATCCACCTACACCCAAAAAGACCAAATTTCCTTTCTCAAAGTTCCACAACAAAGGGGCAGGAGATTTAGTAGACAGTAACAGCTTTCTCCAT